GCTTCCTCATTCCTACAAGTTTTTAATGGATGTTTAACGAACGGAACTTTCTCCCAAATCTGGAAGAGGCAAAAGCTTGTTTTAATACCTAAGCCGGGTAAACCTCTGGATGATCCCTCAAGTTTTCGGCCTATTTGTCTGCTGGACACAGCAGGTAAAATCTTGGAGCATATAATTGCCAAACGTCTCGACAGGGAAGTCCAAGAGAAAGGCGGAATATCGGCAAACCAATTCGGGTTTAGAAAAGGGAAATCTACTGTGAATGCGGTAGAAGAAGTCATTAAGTTAGCACGGGATGCAACGAGCGGTACACGGTGGCTGAGAGGACTAAAAGAGTACTGCGTGATTGTTACCTTAGACGTAAAGAACGCGTTCAACTCTGCCAACTGGGCTAAAATACTCGATAGACTGGAGAGTATTGGAATTTCTTATTATCTTCGAAGACTAATACGAAGTTATTTCCATTCGCGAGTTCTGTGGTACGAAACGGAGGAGGGCCTGCAGCGAGCTGAGATAACAGGTGGCGATCCACAAGGATCCGTACTAGGCCCTTTACTATGGAACATTATGTATGATGGAGTTCTTCGTACCGAATTATCCGAAGGATCATCCATAGTAGGTTTTGCAGATGACATTGCGGTAGTAGAATCTGCGAAACTTCTTGATGTCATATGCGAAAAGGTAGCATCATCAGTCGGCGTGATTAAAAGTTGGTTAAATAGTTTCGGTCTGAAGCTAGCCGAGCAAAAAACAGAAGCAATACTTATCTCGAGTCGTAAGAAACTAGTGGAGGCAGCGCTAAAAATTGGCGACACCATCATGACGAAACCCACAATTAAATACCTGGGAGTGGTGCTAGACAAGCGTCTTACTTTCAGCGCCCAATTGAGCTATGTGAGCAGCTTCAACGATCACGGGACTATCGCAAATAATGCTTACTAAGCGGGGACCGAAACAGCGCAGGCGTTTACTCTTAGCGAGCGTGGTTAAAAGCCAAAAAGTATGTGGCCCCAATTTGGTCAAACGCGGCACAGTGTCCAGCATACTACCGCGGAGTCAACTCAACATACCGTTTATGCGCGCTCCGAGTTTGCAGCGCCTTCAGAACAGTGTCGGACGAAGCAGATGTCGTAATCGCCAGTATGATACCCGTAGATACACTGGCGAGAGAATCGACGGTCCTTGCATCTACGCCGCGTACTCTAACTCAATTAGACCGACGTGAAGTTCGGGAAAGCAGCATTACGGAGTGGCAAAATATGTGGAATAGTACGACTAAAGGTCGTTGCACCTATCACTGCATACCCAATCTGGTATCCTAGCTTAGTAGAACGTATGGCGAAGTAGATTTTTATCTCAGTCAGTTCTTGAGTGGTCATGGCTGTTTTAAGGTATACCTGTTTAAATTCACACATGAGCACGACCCGTACTGCGACTTCTGTCGAAGTGGCGTGGAAGAAGATGTCCAACACGTATCTTTGAGTGCCCTCGATTCCATCGGCAGATGAACCAACTGAAACTAGCTGTTGGAGGCGTGTTTACGCCACAGTCAGTAGTCGACTATATGGTGAAAAGAGCCCGTGAATGGGCATCAACTAGCGACACACTAACTTCAATTTTGCAAGAACTGAGGGACCTAAAGAGACAGCGGCGTATCACCCGTGATTAAGTTAACTCTTTGCATAGCCGCGGACTGGACCCAAACTATGATGTTCACCAACCAGAGTGTAGGCGCGGACTGGAACCTAGGCCGTTCCAGCTGCTCGAGCAAGACAGCTTAGAAACTTGTGCTTTCAGACCGTCCCTTCAACATGAATCATACCAATTAAAGCGTAAGCGCAGACTGGAACCTAGGGCGTTCCAGCCGCCCAGATGGCAATCTCGAAAATTTGCGCAATCGAAAATAGGCGCTGACTGGAACCTAGGGCGTTCCCGCCCCAAATAAAGTTCAGTTTCGAATTTCGGGCGCACGGGGCGTTGGTGCAGATTGGACCCTAGACTAAAGGCAGTATACATACGTATACGGGCCTGAAACTCGTCTCTTATGCAAGCCTGCTCAATGCAATGCCAGCGTCAAAAAGCAGGCATAAGGCATTCCGTAATTTTAAGGTATTTGTACTTACTGTCTATAAAACGAAGATAATAAGTTGTATCTAAGAGATAAACAAATAAATAGTTTAAAACAAAAAAGGGCATTTCTCTTTAAACAAGACGTGGGAAAGCCTACTAGGTGTAGCCCAGGACTGAGTACAACTGACTGGAACGACCGTGCGAGCCTAGTACTCAACCGCCTCCCGACGAAATTCGTGAGGGTGGTACCGGGGGGTTCGGTACTTGGACAGTATGAGGTTTAGTGAAAGTGCAGCATTTAACCCTTTAATGCAGAGTCTGTCATATATGAAACGCTTTTTAATATTTTAATTTTTTTATTTTATTTATTTTTATTTTTTTATTATTATTTTACTATGGAAAATTTTTTTACGATTACTATCCACGTCAACATGAGAAAAAGCACGCTCAAAAGCATATTGAGAACCTCCTTCCTCTGCCTTGAAAGGGTTAAAAAGCGTTTCATGTATGACAGACTCTGCATTAAAGGGTTAAATGTTGCACTTTCGTAAAGATATCGACTAGTATAACCATTTTTATTATATCAATTATTTGTGAAAGCTGATAGTTTACGAGTTATTAGAGTTTAAAGGAGCTTTTCTTTTTCCAATCTGGCCACTCCGGTACAGCATCCAATGTCCCAAAAATCAAGTCTTAAGATAAAATAAAGAGAAATCTTTCAGAAACAGTGCTAATGGTGTATTAAATATAGTGTTTTCTAATAGAATTGGAGCCAAAATCCAAAACTTAAAAAAAAAGTGAAATTTTGGACGGTATTTTGAGGGTTAAGTTATTGTTGTTGTAACTTCTCTATAGTTTTTCATTACATAACGTTATATGATCATTTATCTTCACGATAAAACAAAATTTCATTCCATTATCTCTTTTCTAAGCGAAGATCTACGATTTTGAAAAAAAACTCGTGTTTTACCTATAGTGCGCTGCTTTCAGCGTTTATTTTACATGATCTATAAGCCTTATATAAGGTAATTATACACCAAATGATGCCTTATTATAAGGGATTATTAAAGAGAGCAAACCTTATGAAATGATGACATCAACACAGTGAAATGTGGTGTTGATTCAAACTGAACATTTAAAAGCACATGTACATGTATGGCTGTAGCTGAGTGTGCAAATATGCTTGATACAATCGGTTGCTGCCAAGACTGTCCGGGTTCAATTCTCATCAGACGGACCACAAAATTTAATTAAATTTTTTTAATTTTTTTTTTAATCTCTCTGAGAGAGAAAAAGTTAAACCTGATTCCCAATGACATCAATAGGGCAAAATCAGGTGTAAAATAAAGGTTGTGCCATACAACTTCTATTTCTCCCATCGTCATCATTTCATAAGGTTTGCTCTCTCTCTCTCTGAGAGACCCTTATGCCTAAGCCTTATAGGCCATTTAAAAAAAGGCTTTAATAATCCCTTATAATAGGGCATCACTTGGAGAATACTTACCTTATATAAGGCTTATAGAGCATGTAAAATAAACGCTGCAAGCAGCGCCGCTAGCAAATTCCTTATTTCTTACAACTTCTTATATAATTTTTTGGCGAGTTGTGTGTATTTGTTATTGTATTTGTGCTTTTGCTTGTGTGTATTGCGGTGGTTGCTAGCGCAATTGACACTGTGTACACTATGAAGTGTACAGTATTTTCATTGTACGCTTTACACTATTGTCTTTATTCAACAGTGCACAATGGTTTTGTGAATAGCTGTTTCTAGATTCTCTGTATTCGCTCTACACTCAACTTCAAAGACAACGACAATCAATACACGCTTTTGAGACGAAGGCATTGTTGTACACTTTTAAACATCTTGCGCACATGTCCAATATGTACATATGTATGCTGCGCGGTTTAAACTAATGTGTAATAATGAATATTATCTCGAACATATGTACATATGTATATTAAAAATGCAACACCTGAAGCGATGGTTTTATGAGGTGTAAAATATAATGAACACACCTCTATTTTTTTTAAACGACCCTCAATATCTTTCGCCGAAGGAACGTAGGGAAAGCAGCTGTGACGTAGCGCTACCGAAAATACACTCCAACAAGACTGGAACTCATCAATCAAAAAAAAACTAAAAATTTACTTAAAAATGGCACCAGTGAATTAAAATTTTTTACATTTCATTCCACACTCTCATCCAAGGCGAATACATATAACGTGGTATCGATTCAACATATCGTCACTAGACATGAATAAGGACGCGAGCTCAAAAGTTGACCGCGAAAAAAGGCGCATAAAAAACTTCAGCGAAGAAAGACTCTTAACATAGTTGACGGCGAAGAAAGACGCGTTAAAATATTTGACGGCGAAGAAGGACGCGTAAACTTATTTTCGCAGTCAACTATGTTTGCGGTTGTAATAGTATGTACATTCCGTAAAGAGTTTTTGGCGAATAATGCTGAAGTGACAGTCCTTGGCCAAGTATAAATCTATGATTACGCGTCTTTCTTCACCGTCAACTAGGTTACGCGTCTTTCTTCGCCGAAGTTTTTATTAAGCGCCTTTTTTCGTACAAATTTTGTATGCGTCTTTTTTCGCCGTCGAAACACTAGCGCGCCTTTATTCGTCTCTAGTGACGATATACTACAATTACTTGTATTTTGTTTTTGCTTTTAGCGGGCCATTGTCAAATGTCTGCTATTCTTCCCCGAATGAAAAAGGGCGACTGAAAATACAAACACTCTCACGTTTTCACCCACTTAATAGCGAAATACAAAATTTTTACAATCAAACGCTACTCACAGCTAATGAAACAATACCACCTTATATAAATTCGCCTTGCTCTCATTCTCATTTTGACTCTTTGACGTTTTAAAGCTTGACGTTAAATTGGCTTCTACGTTTTTTAATGTACCTTGCATATAAACGGAATTTACAAATTTTAGTAATTAAAAAAAAATCATACTTACATTGCAATAGCTTTTGGAGTTAAGTATAGGCCATATCTTTTTATCATCCCGAAAATTGTATGGAGTAGTTTGTAATATCGAGTTTGTTGAATAACGGTTCCGACAAGAAATAATATCTTTTGTTTTGCGTATCTGAATGAAAACATCATTAGTATCCTCTAATGAATAGTTTACATTACATTCTCCTGAAGTATCTGTTTCTGTTGTATTAAAATCCACATCAAAACGCGACATTGTATTTTGAAAAGCTGACAATATACCCTTTTTAAAGTTTAACGCCCAAACAGATTCTTTAGAGTTTGGGCATACTTCAGTAATTAAACCATCTTCAAACGAGAAACGTAATAAATGTTCTTGTAGATCTCTTGCCATTTCGAAACTTTTTGGGTGCATATCATCATTATCATCACGAGTTTCTGCATGTGTCGTTGAGTCTGAAAATTCTCCATAGTAATCATCTTCATTTGAACTTATGGCTTCGATGTCATTGTAATTGGGAATGTCTATTTTTTTTTTGATTGACTTGAGTATCCCATAGTTTAACATCATTTATTCGAAGAAATCCTTCACAAGGTTTTGGGAAAAATACGTCTAAAGTAGCCTTTAGAAAAAGGCTCGATGCATTACCGCCAGTGCCAGAAAACTCTGTGGTCAAATCGATGTGGTATTCGTATTTATATATCTTATCCCTAAAACTGAATTTTTTGTAAAAAGCATCGCATTGCGGAGACCCGCAAATATTTGGATTGCGGAAGGGATCTGTAAACACACAACTTTAATCAGTAAATCTATAAACTGCTAAAATTAAATATTCATCTCTACTCACTTTTACTGGCAAGCGAAATTTTTAAATGAATCGATATCAAAGCAACTATTAAAAGCTGTCGAATTAATTTAGTTGTGTATGGATTCGGCGAACGATTAATTTCAGTCATGTTGCTAGGGCTTCCTTAAAATTTGTATTTCTTTACTGGAGTAAAAGTAATGACTTGTGAGGTATTATTCTTTGTATACCGAAATGCTTCACTTTACTCCACACATGACAATGCCTGAAAAATATGGTACATATGTATGTATAAGCAATATTGAACGAATATGATAGAAATAAATATATAAATATCATGTATTCTTTGAGCATAATTTTCTTCTTAATTGTTAAGTTAAATTAACACGATGACTTCACCCTGGGTCATGCGTGTCGAGCTTGTTGGCAAGAAGTGTAGGGAAGTCAGCGGGGTAGGCAAGCAAGCACGGTCAGCGAAATCGAGGGCAGTTTTTGACGTTTAGCTTTTATAGAATTCACTTTTCCGTATTTTTACTTTGAATTTGCGATTCGCTCCGCTTTGAAAATGGGGACGAAAGAGTTGGACAAAGAAAATTTCACGCTTAAATGTCAAAAAAAAACGCAAGAAACGCCGAAAAGAAAAAGTCATCGTGTAAATGCACGAGGGCTTTCGAAGACTTTTTTAAAAGGGAACGTACAAAAAACGCAGGGTGGAAAGTCATCGTGTAGATTGGCGCATTGCTAAAATTTTAGGTTCACCTAGGGTGAAACTCTTATAAGTAATGCTGGTATATTTTTTTCACACAAAAAACAAGATTTTTTACGGTATAAATTTTGCGGTCGAAGTCACAGGGCATAGTTAAACCATTGTTTACATAAGCGCAAACAAGAGTTTTACTATTAGTTGGAGAGCCGACTGCTTGAAAATATATTGATTTGCTTGACCTTAGTTTGTCAGTCCAAACAGGAATCTTTATTTACGGTTGATGGATAGCTCGTTTCCAATGGATGGTGGCAAGAAAGTGGCTGACTTACGTGTAATGATTTTGTATTACCGGCTTATGGTGACTCAATTGCTGTCAAATGAATGGTCCAGATTTGATGCTCACAACTTCTTTATTCTACGCAACAACATGGCTGGGGATTCGTCGGAAGGAATGTGACGGCACACTTTTGTCTCTATTAACTCGATACAAGAAAAAAAGGCTTTTTACAGTCAGCCTTTTTCCTTATATTTGCTTGGACGCAGTCGATTTCCCTTTCCACTTTCCACTGAGGGGTGAGTATCGACTCCCCGAATGTCGCCAGCTTTTAATACAAGCTTTTAATACACTTTAATTACTTGGTTGTAATTCCGTTCTTGCGAGGGCTGATGAGTGTGGTTCGCTCCGTGTCCAATTCGGAAAAAGGAAATATATTTTTCTAGCCTCGTGTTATGTGACCACCGATTCTTTTATCGTATGCCAGTTTGGGCGTTTTCATAGTGGCCATGTCAATTCGTGTCTATACTGATATAATGGTTCGTGTCTTGAATAACTATTGGTTACGTACATTCATCTGGCAATCCCCCCCATTTTGAAGTTTAGCTTTGACAGTTTTGTTATGTTTACATTTGTCATAATCGTTCTTATGTCTATTATTTGGCCAATAAAACTAATAGATCAATATTGCACATTGTCCTGAAATCAAATAACCAAAATTCAATAGTTGGTATCTAGGGCAACTTCAAATCACCGACTCGCCAGGTCCTAGCGTGGCAATCGTGTGCTGGCCATCGTGCTCTGGCACAAAACTGTAAAATTTCGAAAGATTTGAACGTGCTTATTTCAAAAATAAGGAATTGCCATCTCATATCCTGACAGAAGTCCTTGGCAAGTCGGATTGAAAAGAGCGGATTTTTCAAAATATCACGGTGACCTTGGATAAGGTTTGAACCACCCAGTTTTCTTCACATTCTCATTCTGTCATTATTTTTGAGCTTCTATGGAAGGATTCGAAAGATATCTCGATTATCTTTAATTTTTCGTAGCATAACTTTTCTAAATGAATTAAAAATCATGCCACAGTAAAAATGTTATCCGTCAAATCATCGCCTATCCATCGCAAATAATATTCATTTAACTTAAGTGCAAAAAGAATTTGCTTGAGCTTAAATGATGATGAGTCACCATACCTTTTAGTCTGACTGTAGTGATTATTATATTAGTTTGTGAAAACCCAATGGGGTATAGTCGTTGCGCTTCAAATGCAGTTACAGTTGCATGGCTATACTCAATCCCGACTCTTGCGTCCTCGTTCGCACACTCTGGGCAACGTGAGAAAACTATGTGCGAGATGCGGTAACCAATCCGAGTGGAGCCTTGGGTCACGGCAGAAAGAGAGGGAGCTTCGGTGTGGCCACTCCGACTTATTCGGTTTAAGGGCTCACTGAAGTCTGCAGCGTCTGTTCACCAGTAGGTGCGGCTGCAAGCGGGTGTCTGCTTGGAGCAAGCGGCTCGCTATGTAAATGTGTATTTGGTTGCGAAACCACCCCCGTCCCAGCAATGGGTTGTGCGCTGGGTTTGGGACCCGCCACGTAAAAACCACTTCCAGTGAAGAAGCAAGGCAAAGCCTCGGATGAGACCCCCTCTTATGATGACGACCACGGCAAAGGACTACGATTTGAGGGCATACACCTGGAAACCCTTAATGGGGAAGGTGCCTCTGCCCGGCTGGTTGATGTTCTCGTAAGGACAAAAGCTGACATCACCGCCATCCAAGAAATGCGTTGGACGGAGCAAGGCAAACAATGTCTGGGGCCTTGCGACGTTTACTTCAGCTGCCATGTAAAGGAGCGCAAATTCGGAGTTGGATTTGTTGTGAGCGTCTAGCCATAATCCGCATCAAAGCGAGATTCTGCAATATCTCGCTCATCTGCGCCCATGCCCCGATGGGAGAGAACGATGAAGCATACAAGGATCTCTTCTATGAGCGCTTGGAGCGCACGTACGAGCGCTGCCCCCGTCATGATATCAAAATCGTGCTTGGCGACTTCAATGCCAGGGTGGCGAGGAAGGGATCTTTGGAACCACCGTCGGAAAATTCAGCCTCCACGAAGAAACGTCCGACAACGGATTGAGGCTGATCGACTTCGCCGGGGTCCGAAACATGGTAGTATGCAGTACTAGGATCAAGCATAAGAAGATCCATCAAGCTACGTGGCTGTCTCCGGATCGAAAAACGAGAAACCAAATCGATCATGTTGTGATAGGCGGAGGGTACGCTTCTAATGTTCTAGACGTACGCACACTCCGAGGTCCGAACATCGACTCGGACCACTATCTTGTTGCAGCCAAGATACGCACCCGCCTCTGTGCAGTAAAAAATGTGCTCCCAAATATGCACGGAAAGCTTAACGTCGAAAAGCTGCAATCACAACAGACAGCCAGCGCTTTCGCTACTCGACTCTCACACCTGCTCTCAGAAAGCACTCTTCAACAAACCGCCATATGCGAGCAGTGGAACCACATTTCCCGCTCATTAAGTACCGCCGCCGAAGAAGTAGTCTGATTGCAGCGAGCCCGAAAGAACAACTGGTACGATGAGGAGTGTCAGGAAGCTGCAGAGAAAATGATGCCGCCTACAAGGCCACGCTGCGATCGGGCGCAAAGCGCGCTATGTGGGACCGCTATAGGGATCTGAAGAGGGAAGCGAGACGTATTTTCCGCAATAAGAAGAGAGAGGCCGAAATGCGTGAGTGCGAAGAGCTTGAAATGCTGGCCGACAGGAAGAATGCCCGAAAATTTTAGCAGAGAGTTAGGCGACTTACGGAAGGTTTCAAGACCGGGGCGTACTCCTGTAAGAACAATAATGGCGACCTAGTAACTGATGTCCAGAGCGTACTTGAATTATGGAGGGAACACTTTTCCGCCCTACTAAATGGTAGCAGCACGGAAAGTTGTGGAGAAGAAGAACCTGAGCCCGCAGTCGATGATGACGGAGTCGACGTTCCACCGCCTGACTATGACGAGGTACGTATAGCAATAACGCGGCTGGAAAACAACAAAGCTGCTGGAGCTGACAGCCTGCCAGCTGAGCTATTCAAGTACGGCGGCGAGGAGTTGATAAGGTGCATGCATCAACTCTTGTGCAGAATATGGTCAGATGAACGCATGCCCGACGACTGGAATTTAAGTGTGCTCTGCCCAATCCACAAGAAAGGTGACCCCGCCATTCGCGCCGACTACCTCGGGATCAGCCTTTTAAGCATAGGTTACAAAGTCTTATCGAGCGTATTGTGTGAAAGACTGAAGCCCACCGTCTATGAACTGATTAGGCCTTATCAGTGTGGCTTTAGACCTGGCAAATCCACCGTAGACCAGGTATTCACAATACGCCAAATCTTGGAAAAGACCCGCGAGAAAAGGATCGACACTCACCACCTATTTGTCGACTTTAAAGCCGCTTTTCACAGCACTAAAAGGAGTTGCCTATATGCCGCTATGTCTGAATTTGGTATCCCCTCAAAACTCAAATGGCTGTGTAAAATGACGCTGAGCAATACCACCAGCTCCGTCAGAATTGGGAAAGACCTCTCCGAGCCGTTCGCCACAAAACGGGTTTTCAGACAGGGCGACTCCCTTTCATGTGACTTCTTTAATCTGATGTAGGAGAAGATAATAGGAGCTGCATAACTGAACCGCTCATCGGTAACAAAAACCGTGCGTCGACCGTTTCCAAGTTGGATAAGGAAGGAAAGCGAATGGGTCGGGTGGTAAACGAGGACAAGACGAAGTATCGCCTGTCATCAAACAAACAGTCAGCACATTCGCGCCTTGGCACCCACGTCACTGTTGACAGTTACAATTTCGAGAAAATAGAGAATGTCGTTTATTTGGGAACCAGTATTAACACCGATAATAATGTCAACATGGAAATCCAACGCAGAATCACTCTTGCCAACAAGTGCTATTTTGGACTGAGTAGACAATTCAGGAGTAAAGTCCTCTCTCGACGTACGAAGCATGGACAATGACAACATTCGATGAGGCGGCTCTTGGAGTGTTTGAGAGAAAGATTTTGCGGAAGATTTACGGGCATTTACGCGTTGGCGACGGCGAGTGCCGCAGACGATGGAACGATGAGCTGTATGAGCTTTACAACGACATGGACATAGTGCAGCGAATTAAAATACAGCGGCTCCGCTGGCTTGGTCATGTCGTTCGAATGGACACCGACGCTCCAGCTCTGAAAGTATTCAACTCGGAACCCGCTGGTGGTAGCAGAGGAAGAGGGAGGCCCCCACT